CTTTTACTAGACACTGCTGACCCTGCAGCTAGAGAAAAGATACTGTGTTTGCCGCAGTACACTGGTACCTTATCTAGTGAATTTTTGGGGAACACAACTCCTTCGTAATAGGGGTTTGCTCATTTGTTTTCATTTATTTTTTATTTCTTTTAAAGAATGATTTATTTATTCATTCCTTCATTCTTTTATTTTAATTTGACCAGCGAGAGACACAAAGAGAAAGAGAGAGAGGAAAGTGAGAAAGCAAGCCACCAGCTCCGGGACCTGAACCGTGGTAGGCCATGTGGGAGTGTCCAGCACCTTAACCACCATGCCACCTGCTGGACCGTTTTCATTTATTTTTAAAATGTACAGTTACTCTGCAAAGCAGAACTGCCCATACGTGCAGATGCATGACAAGAATACCTCACTATGTGGTTTTCCTTTTTCCTTGGTTGTTTTAGAATAATACATTGAGAATAACTGCAGGCTCAATTATGAATGCAAATTTGAAAGAGATGGGTTCCTTCAACTGCCAGGCATAGAGAGTATTTTGTAGCATGGAAGAAATTCTAGGCATATCTAGAGCAGGAAATTTCTTGTAAGACTGGTACCTGATCATTTGAAGAAAGGTGTTACGAGCCGACGCCCCAGCAAGCCATGTGGTTTGGGTGAATTACTGAACTTCCTGAAAAAACCAGTTGCCTCACTTATAAGGAGGTGATCATTTCTGGCTCACAGTTTTGTTTCCATGACTTTCAGGAAACTGCATTATCCTCTTTCTTTCCACAACCTTCTTCCTCCCCCTTTATCATTTTTACTGTCTATCATAAGGGTCCCCCAAGGTTCACCCCTTTGGGCCTGTGTTGCTGGTCACACTTTCCCTTGATTACATTGCTTTCAACCATGACTCTGTCCACACTTAGCTCAATCCCACCCACTTTCAATCCCACAGGTACAGCTCCTTGGAGACACCCTGCCAAGGCATTTAAAATCCAGCAAGCGTGAAGTCAAATTTGTTATTTCCTCCCTAGATTACCTCCTGTCTCTGGAATGGATAGTGTTTTTAAACAGGGCCTCTTGTCTCGCAGAGTCCAAACTTCTGAGTCATCTCTAACATTTTTTTTCTTGTTCCTTATCTAATCAGTCACCAAATTCTGTGCATTCTCTCTTCAAAAGGTCTTTGGTCAGAACAGGAATGGAAACACAAAGATCTATAGTTGTGTTAGTGTTTGTTTTCTTTTCTTTTTTTAGAGCAATGGGACTGTTTCCAAATTAATATTGATATTTACTTTAATATTTTAAAATTAAAGATATTTCTGTTCTCTAAACAGCTGGACCACTGCATAGTTAGCTAAGTTGCTTTGAGAATTACTCTCTTTCCAGCCCCTTGCATACAACTTGTGAGTTGACATTAACTTTCCTACTTACCATCTTCGACAGCTCCCCAGAGCTGTACTCAGGGTGAAATGCCGAGGCTTGTGCTTAAGGCACTCTCCTCTCTCCTTTCAGCCTCTCAGCGTCGTTCCCCACTGCTCCAGTTCAGTCCCTCAAACTTTCACTAAACTCTTGACTGTTGTCAGAATCAACAGACTTTTCCTGACTTTAAACCTTGGCTCAATCCACTCTAATCTCTTTTCTTATTTTTTGCCTGAGCACATTAATATTTGTTATATTTAGCTGAATCCCTAGGTCCTAGCCTCCCCAACACCAATTGTCATGCTACCTTCTCTGCTTTCCAAACTCTCACATCACTTGGGTTGTGGCACTTTCATAGTGATGCAGGGACACGGCAGGTACAGGGGTGATCAGGCCCAGAATCCACAGCAGACATAGGTTCTTGTCCACAGATCATGAAGAATTAGAGTGAGGACATAGAGAGGGGATAGCAAGTGGAGTTTATTAAGAAAGAGAAGGAGAAACCAGCAGATACTATAATGGTTATGTTGGTGGATTCCCATAGTTGACCACAGTTCAAGTCCCAGACCAGGTGGCTTAAAACTCATGCTGGGCATACCCAAAATCTTGAGAGGAGAAGGAATTGTGATGATCACCTAGGGGTGATTTCTCACGTTTTGTCTCTCTGTCTCTCTGGTGAGTACACACACCCTATAGCAAAAATCTCTCTTAAAAAAAAAGAGAGAGAGGGAATGAAGAATAGAACTCCCAAGCAGGGAGCAGCTATGGAAAATGGGTTTTAGAAAAGAAACTAGGGCAGGAGGTTTTAATCTTGATTAGGAAGGGCTGAGCCAGGGCACATTCTAGGTGGGGCTTGTACATACGTTCTCCCCGCTCTGCATGGTGAGAGTCACATGGTGGTGGGGTCAAGTCATTCTTCTAATTTTGGAGTGGGTAGGAAGGTCAGGACATTCTCTTTGTCTAGAAGCTTTGGGCCATAAAAACTGTTATCTTCTTCCTGGAATGTGGTAGACTTGAAAAAACTCTTTTATTTTATTGGGTTGTTAGAAAAGTCATGATGTGTTCTATCTTTTCTTATTTTTTCTAGAGATAGATTTTTGCTACAGGGCACATGGACTCACCAGAGACATAGAGAGAGATGGAGAGAGAGAAAGTGAGAAATTACTTCCCAGGGGGAATGGCCATGCCACAATCCCTTCTCCTCCAGTCTCCTCTTGGGAGTTTAGGCACACAAGTATGAGTTTCAAGCCACCAGATCTGAGACTTGAACTGCAGTGGGCCATGTGGGAGTCCAGCACCTTACCACTACGCTACCTGTTGGCTCCTTTCTACATTTTTCTGTGCAAAAAAGCATCATGACTTTTCCAACAACCCCATAAGTCATGCTGCCTAGGTTAATCGCAGTTATTGTTGCAAGCTGTTTCTCCTGAGCAAGCAGTTAAGCTGTTGTGTTTCCATCTTAAAACCTAGCCCTTCTGTGATTCCACTTTGAACCTATACCCTAATATATTCATAAGGTCCCTGTCTCCTATCTCAGTAGCATATATGACATGAAATCTCTCTACTAAAATATGGATTTTTTTCTTTTTCACATTAAGAAATGATTTCTGCCATTGCAGGAGAGACAAAGGGAGAAAGAGACTGATAGCACATCCCCGACTGAATCTTTTTTCTGGAGAGGTTTTTGCTATAGGGCGTGTGCGATCGCCAGAAAGACAGAGAGAGACAGAGAGACAGAAATCACACCCCGGGGGGGATGGCCATGCCACAACCCCTTCTCCTCCATTCTCCTCATGGGATCTTGGGCACACATGCACACGTGCCTGGTGTGTTTAAGCTACCGGGTCAGGGACTCAAACCACGGTTGACTAGACGGGAGTCCAGCAACATAACCATTACGCTAACTGCTGGTCACCCCAGCTGAATCTTGATGCCATGATCCACTACCAGCCTCAGCCAGGCCCCAGATCATGGGCACATACATGCCCAGCCCACCAAGGGAGGTCTCCAGACTTGAACCGGGAATCTTCCCATGTGGTATTGCCTTGCAGAGCATTGTGTTTTATCATTGTGCCACCATCTGATCCCTAGATTACAGATTCTTGAATACCCATATTGACAATATGTGTGCTCCTATTTGAGTATGTCCCTCAAATTTCACATGTTGAAAATTGAATCCCCAAATTTATATGTTGACAGTATTCCAAGGTGGGGCCTTTGGGAGGTTAATAGGATTAGACAAAGTCATCAGGGTAGAGCCGCCATGACAAGAGCTGCTTTATAAGAGGAAGAGACACCTGAGCTGTCTCCTCTCATTTTGACAGCCTGATTCTCTCTGTCGAGAATCATAGACCTATTTTCTATTTTCTTTGTGGGTGTGTGTTTTAACATAATTATATAAACTTATCATTTTGGCATTGGAAAGCAGTGTAGAGACTATTTTAGTCCCAACTCCTTTTCAATCAATGTGGAGATGTGACCCTCAGAAGTGGAGTGTCTCAGCTAGTTTTTGGTAGATTGAGTATGAAGATTTTGGATACTGCCCACACCAGCAAGCCCTCGGTATCTGAATCCTCTCTATATAAGAACATTTGGCTGAGCCGGCAGGTGGCGTGGTGGTTAAGGACACTGGACTCCCACATGGCCAACCATAGTTCGGGTCCCAGAGCTGGCAACTTGCCTTCTCACTTTCTCTTTTTTGCTCTCTCTCTCTCTCACTCTCTTTCTCTCTGGTCAAATTAAAATAAATAAATGAATAAATAAAGTTAAATAAAATAATTCTTTAAAAAAAAGAATACTTGGCTGACTGACTTCAGTAAAAGGACTGTAGTGTGGTGGGAGAGGGGACATACAGGTTCGGAACAAACTATGTTCAGACTCTGGCTTGGTTGCTTATTAGCCACATGGATTTTAGTAAACAGTCACCCAGACTGTCTCTTCCTTTGTAAAATGTGTAGTTATCTCCACTTTAAGAGTCTGTGTTGGGGAAACGTACATGAAACAATTGAAACAACAAAACTGAGGCCCTTGTTTACACTAATTTGTAAGTTACAAATTTGCACATTTGATTTTGAAAATAATACGATTTTATTGTGGGTCCATTTTCTAAACTGAGTGGATGCATAAGTGCAGAGTGGAGTTTTTCTTTGCCTTCAGGATTTTGTAACTACTTAAATGGGTAAAGGTATTACTTAAGAGTCCACTCAGTTAATTTTCATAAAAGTTCATTTTGAAAAAATGATTACTGAGGAACTAAGTGTCTTGGAAGGTGAATGCTTAGAACATTTGGTGTAGCTAAGTTGGTGACAGAGATCTTTTTTTTTTTGGACATTGTACAGAGCTTACTGTTTTCTCTGGATAAAAAACGACGGCATTTATTTAATTAAACCCTTAGGTGTGCTATAACAGGCCTCAATATTAACCCTCTGACAGCTCCATGAAGCGTCTTGATTTTCGGCTCTTTTTCATGAGACCATTTTTGCCTTTCAGGCCAATTCTGAATCCAAGCCAAAATAAAAACTATGGCACTGCCGAAAGAAGAACTGATTAGTCATGAGAGGCTCTTAGGAGGAGTAAGTGAAGACCTGGTGCCACTTCCAGAACAGTGCTGCTCTCTAACGTACTTTGTGTTTTTGTATCAAATATGGGAGTAAAACTAAGGCGTTTTATTATCAAATGCGAAGCTCACACTAGATGGTGTTTTAAATCTCACCCTTAACCTCTGAACTAGTCAGGTTCCGGTGGAAGTCTGCAGTCCTTTCCCTGGAATCCCTGTAGGACCAGTTCCAGCATTAGATGATTCAGTACAGTGAGCGTGAACCAGAGAAAGCACTGGTGTTGCAAAAGATTGACTTCTTCCTTATGAAGCTCACATGAACCAATCAGAAGCTACCAGAAAGTATTCAGAAGAGTATCATGACAGGATGATAGGGTGTAGCAAGCCCCCACCACTGGTCCAGGGACCAAGACATAATGCCAAGTGAGGGATTTCCATGAACTAAGAAGGCATATAAAGAAATAGGACATGGCAGGACCAGTAGATGGCGTAATGGCTATGTCACTGTACTCACATGTAGTCGACCACGGTTCAAGTTCCGGGCCTGGTGGCTTAAACTCATGCTGGGCGCAGGTGCGTTTGTGCCCAAGATCCTGAGAGAACAGAGAAGGGATTGCAGCGTGGCCATCCCCGCTGAGGCGGTGATTTCTCACTTTCTGTCTCTCTGTCTCTCTCTGTGTTTCTGGCAAGCGCACGTTCCCTATAGCAAAAATCTCTCCCGGGGCAGGAGGGAGGTAGGAATGGAGCTGGCAGGTGGCATGGTGGTTAAGGGTTAAGGGCACTGGACTCCCCCATGGTGAACCGTGGTTGAGTCTCAGACCTGGGGACTTGCTTTCTTGCTTTCCCTCTCTCTTTCACTCTGTGCCTCTCTGACCAAACTAAAATAAATAAAAATATTTTTTAAAAGTTCAGTAAAATAATTCTTTAAAAAAAAAAAAAAAAAAAACAGGACAACTAAACTAGGACTCTTCTAATCAGATTGTTAGGAATGATCTGTGTTGTGGGCTCTGAAAGAATTCACAGACGGATAAAAGTCTGTGGATAGAAAAGATTTAATACTCACTTTCCAAAGGGAGGAAAGGGTGTTTTTTTTACAGCATTGGGTGTTCACTTATCATCTCTGTGTAGTCAAGCCTACTATAGTAAAATCACGCAGCCCCCATTTTCTACCTACCTTTCAGATGGAAATCTTCCTCTGAATCCAAGGAATCCCTCCCTTGGGACCAGTCAAACTCCCTTTAGGCTTTTGCCCAGCCCAGTCAAGGGTATTTAAGATTGCCTTCACGACAGAGCCTTCTCTGGAGCAGTTGCCAAGATAAGAGACTATTCAAGTGTTGACCCTAAATAAAAGAGGAAAAGAAAGAAAATGCCCAAGGCCTCTGTGGAACTTTGAAGGTGCTCTTCTCAGCAAAAATGTGGAAGATCCTTGGGGCTGGGCTAATATGTCCTTTCACAGACTAGATAGGTTATCATGGGGAAACATGTTCTTGAGACTACTCCATGCAGAGGAGTAAGCAAGCCCCTCTCCACCAACATCTTCCAGCGCTTTGACAGGTAGGGGCTGACTAGATAATTACTCTAGCCAGTTCTACGTAGACCTATGGTCCTCAACCCCGCGCATCATGGAACGCTTTAAATAATTCTGATACCCAGTCCCGTCCCAAGATTGATTTAATTTGCCTTTAATTTGGACATTTAGAACTTTTAAAAGCTCCCCTGTGATTCTAACTATGGTGAGTCTTGCAAACCACCAGCTGTTCTTAAAGTCTTGTCATAAACCTTCCTCTTAAAAATCCGCCATCATGGGACAGTGGGTGGTCGCGTGGTGTTGAGGGAGAGAACCCCACGTAGCCTGTATTAGAGTCCCTGAGCTGAACTCCGTAAGGTCCCCATTAGAAAATGGGGAGGAGGGGCTTGTGGAAGACATAGGATGGTTCTTAATTCCCGCCCCCCCCCCACGTCTGTTTCTCTTTGGGGAGAGCACGCCCCTTTAGCAAATGAGAAGAAAAAAAGCACTCACCATCCCCTTGTTTAGCTTTCTAGAGCCTACTGTTTGTTTTCGTCGTCTTTCCCAGACTCCGCTACCCCCTGGGTTGTGAATTCCCGCAGTCACACTAGAATAATCTTAAAGGGGAATCCAAGGTGTCCTTGTTAAATTCCGAGAACGTGGGCGTAGAGAGGGACTCCCACCCTAACGTGGTATGAACGGTGATCTCTTGCTGTGTTGCTCGACCTGCTTTCTGCGGTCGTTCCCCAAAGGCTGTTTTCAGATTACGGCGTGCCCAGAAGACTACCCGCTGGATCGCTTTACGCCCACCCTCACCGCGACCTTTGCTAGGTCTCGCAGGTGAAAGCGCGCCGACCCTGGGAGGGCCTTGTCGCTCAGCTCGGGTGGGACCACCCGGAAACAGCACAGAGCCCTAAACAGCCCAGCTCGCAGCTGTCACGCGAGTGGAAGATCCACTTTAATGCAGAGTCTGGGGAGCGGGGGCGAAGCCTGCGTTCCTGGCGCTACTCCCGAGACCCAGCTCGCCCGGGTTTCTTTGTTTACGTACAAAGCAGACATTTCCATTTTCAGACGGCAGTTCCCCGCAGGCTCCACCCAGCGGCGGAAAGATCTCAGCGTCGGGTGCTAGAGAGCTCCGCCTCCGCGCCCAACCCCGCTTCCCGAGTCTGCGGCCCGGGTGACCAGCGGCTGGAGTCCACTCCC